ATGAGTTTCTGTCTGAGTCTGTTTCCAATATTTCACCAGGAAGCCAAACATTGGCCATGCACTTTGAAGTGTGCACTTGAAGTGTGCTTACCTCCAGCATGCAAGCAGCAAAGAAAAGCCTGCCCGTCTGAGCTCTTTTCCCCCAGTGCGTTGTGTTAAAATCAGCTGGCCCCTGCAAGAAGAAGTCGCCAAACCAGCCGGCGGCAGTGCACACGTCCTAATTAGTCTGCCCTCACACTGGCTAACACCACAGGATAGTTGCTTTTCTCACACATTTTCTCCCGCTTGCTTTCCTATCACCGGTGCTTCTGTTCTCTCGGCCTAGTCCCCCTGTTCGTGCTTTTACTCCTTTTCCAAGTTGCCATCTCAGTCTTTATGTTGCTGTTTACTTCTGCTCTCATTCTGTCGTCTGACGCAGCTTTCATTTCCTGCTACTGTGTCTCATCTTCTCCCTCTCCACTCTCCATCTCCGTCCTCCTCCAGTTTTCCTTCTCACAGCACTGTTAGATCAGTCTGTGTAGTCAGGTACTGTGAAGTAAGCATGGGATAAAGTATTTGAACGAGATGTAACTTAAATGATGTCAATTTTCTGTACTTGAGTTGATATGGCAAAATAACACTTTAGACTGCAACAAAGCAATAAATCCATAAAGTCTTTACATGTCGGTCACTTAGACTGAACATTATTGTACAAATGGCAGAAAATCACTACAAAACTCTGGTTCCTCACATAATGAGAACCCGTGCCTTTGTTTTAAACCAGTCATTCACCTGGTTTTATTTTTCACTACACAATACTCGCTAACTAAAGAAACATGAGAACACAACAATAGTCTCAACCACTCAATACACCCTCTGTGTGTATTTCTCAGACAGAGAAACCCATTTGATGTGTATTTGCACTCAGAAAGTTCTGCAGAATCCCAACCAACCAACCAACCGACTTACTTCTGCCACTTTTCTGGGTGTGGGTCATAGGACCAGCAGTTTAAACAAGAATGCCCACACCTCCTTTCTCTTCCACCACCTCCCCCACTTTTTCTAGAGACCATCAAGGTGTTCACATAACCTCTCCAGTGTATCCTGGCTCTGGTGCGGGGTCTCCTAGCAGTTGAAGCTCCCCTTGGAGGCAATCAGGAGGCATCATGATCAGGTGCCCAAACCACCACAACTGCCTTCTTCTAATGTGTAGGAGTAGCAGGTCTACTGGGCCCCTTCCAAATGACAGAGCTTTCAGCCAGAAGACTCCTGTGAAGTAGATGATCATGGGCTTTTGTTACCTTACCTGGATTGAGACCCCAATCTGGAGCCAGATCTGGGAAGAGTGCCTGGTGGCTAGGGGTACAGTAGGCTTAGCCTGAACAAGCCACATGGACCAGGACTTACGTGGATCAAGCCGCAGCCCTCGGTGGACCCATCCCCGGTTCCGAAAATTGTTTCTGCAAATGTACCTATGTAAATTTAAAGTCAACCTTAAAGTTGGCCACCATTCTTCATTTTTTGTCTGCTTATGATTTTTTGCACTGCTGCTGCTAAGGTTCCTCGTGGATCGCTCCATAGAAGTCCCCGTTTAAACAGAGACCCTATGATTTAAATTTCATGTTAGAAAAGAGAATGAAGGCACTGTGAGCCAAATGTTCTCTCTGCTCTTTTAGGATGTTACAGTAGAACTCCCCAGTGACAGTCTGACACTTTGAATGTCAGAAAAATGATATTCATGCTTGTTGTGCTATTATGAACCTTGGCTCAGGAGAGTGCAGGCTCTTCCACTGAAGACTGCCATTCGGTCTATGTTGTAGCAGCACAGAGAGCTCACAGCAGCTGTGAAATCATAAACGTCCGTGTGGTCAGATCAGGACTTCCAGGATGGGATCCAAATGTAGCAGGAGCACTGGGTGTGGAGCAGCACTTCACAAGGACTCAAGCTTCAAGGGCCAAATTTAATTTGGGAATGTTTCTTCAGTTTCCTTTCCTTTCTTTCTTTCTTTGTAAGAAAAAAGGCAGTCGAAGTCATTTGAGTAATGCTAGGCAACAGTACATGATGGGCGAGGCTGAGTGACTTTTCAAATAACCACAGTCGCAGTGTTGCTTCTCTAATTAAGCCATAAATAATAGAAAAGTTCATAAAAGGTTTTCCCAGATTACTTCAAATCTGAGGAATGCCAGCCCTGTTTCTCAACTGGAGGGTAACTCATTTCAGTGCCTTGATGTCATTAACAGTCCTGTGTCACATTAGAGAAAAACTGTGCTCACTAAGGCTTAGAACAACTGAGCTGAATGGCTCTGGCCTCGGGCCGGCAGACTGCAGCAGTTATTAGCTGCTGATGACAACGGGGTAGCTTACCTGTCCGTCTCTTTTAACACACGTATATAGGACAGGACAAGCAAATGTGCGTGCGTGTACAGCCACTCATTAATCCCTCTGAACCTCTTCTTTCACTGTTTGGAAAGCAGCCTGCTCGAATTGTCAGCCCATCAAACCGCTACTTCGCAAACCTCCAGCCTCTCCTGCACCCCCCCCGCACCCATCCACCCTCATCTAATGCTTTATCCAGAATCAGCGTCTGTCTTCAGCCATTAATATGATAATATTTGGCGTTGTCAGTGATGGAGGCCGCAGCATAATGAGATAATTACAGTGTTGTTTCATTTGGAGAGCGACACGCACGCTCAATCAAAATGGCAGGCCTAATTACGGGCCCAGGGATTGGCTAATGGGATCGCTAGAAGAGGGGTGGCATGAAAAGGGAAAAAAAAAAGTCTTAACTTGGCCGTGTGCATTTATTCTCCACGGGTCTGTTTGTTTGTGTGTTTGCGTGATGGGCGGCAGAGGGTAAGACTACTAAAAAGCTAGCAGTAAGTGAATAAAAAGAAAAATGCAAGAGATGAAGTGTGAATATCTTAATAGCAAGGTTGTCTGTGGGACACTTGGGGGGGAAACTGAGATGAGTATTGATTAACTGTGCATTGAAACCAGCCATTAAACCAATCTGAAGAAGCAACAATTAGTGCGGTACTGGGAGTAATGCCGCCTCAGATATCCATCTTCATAAAACGGAAGCATCTGCGCTGGCGTTTCATAACAGCACGGAAACTTTCGGAAAGTTCTTTTCCTCACGGCAGCAAGTTAGGATCGAGTTTTGCGCCCAAAGTGTTGACAGGGACTCGTTGGCAGAGGACGCACGCGCGCACAGAACAACGACAACAACAGTGTGCATACCAACATACTGACACGGGAGTGTGTGTGTG